TAATTCATCATAATTACACTCACGGTAATTCTCATACTATCACTTATTACTCACGCAACCTCACTGTCATACTTATAGTAACTCATCACAAGACTCCCAGAATCAAACATCACGGCATCGCTGCACAACGATCAATTTCGTGAACTATGCTATGTTCGCTGGCTTGCTTGCTAGGCGAGTTGGTAGCGAGCCTTTGCTGGCTTGCTCGCTATGCAAGCCTGTAGCGAACCTTCGCTGGCTTGCTCACTAGGGGAACAGAGCGATGACAGCAAAACCTGCTACGCACCAGAGCTGATTTCTACCCAAAACTCATACGATTCACATACACCATGCCCCCAAAACATCATTAAAACATCCCCAATGTCATACGGCGATAACGGCACCAAATCTATGGTTTATTAGGCCAATCTGGCAACATTTGCACTGCCTAGATCACTATTCCCTGCAATTGCTCTGAGTGCATCAGAGATACTCACATTTGAATATTCCTATTCCTACAGGGTCAAACATATCACAATCCAAGGTTTTGGCCACGAAGGCCTAAGGTTTCCTTTCTCATGTTACACATCAAACAGTCCGATAAGGTTTCCTAAATTCATGTCAATATTCAAGGATACATGCCATCAATCATAACCTCAAAGTCTATTCATCAGTTTCTCTAATCCTCCCAATTCAACCCAACATACCCTAAATCATAAACCCCATTATAAACACACCGAAAGGCATATATAGAAAATCATGAAATGCGATACTCCCCATACCTTAGCCGATTCAAAGCTTTCACGGTTAACTCCGGCAACCTTCCGAAGCTTTTGCCTCCACTGATCCCTCCTCAGAGCTCTGGCCTCCATTCTTTTCACGGTTAACAAAATGAATCCTAAACCTTCAGAATTCTATTTTGTCAAACTTAGACTTAGGCCACACAATTGGGATTTTCCCATAACACCCTTACTAACTCTTCATAATGCCCAATTTACCCTTATTTCACTTATATTCATTTTAATCAATAATAATACTAATATTCTCATATAGTATACTATTAATTAAATAAATAGTCCAAAAATGCACATTTTTTCAATAATCCACAAAACCACTGAAAACCACCCAAAATACGAATATTCTCAATTAAATAATTAATTAAAATATTCCATTTAAATTTGGGGTGTTACACAAGCAACAACTTTATCACAACAAATATGCCAAAGTTTCAGCAGCCCCAAATTTACAGCAACAATTTTCGGAAAAATACCCACACAAATCGCAACAACTATAACAATCATCAGTCAAGCAAACCATCAAAATAACGCATGAATGATCCAACGGTTCAAGCAACAAGTCAAACCACAAAGTCTGGAAAATAGCCTCCAAATCCGTCGTAAAACAAAATCATAACAAAGTGAATCCAAGCCCATAATCCTCATGATATAAAGAATCCATGCAACAACAAGTGGGGCGAATTTTGGATCCGAGAAGAAGGGGGAATTCAGAGAATCTTGAAGATTCATCATCCTCATCCGCAGAAAGAAGGTTCAGGAAGAAGAAGAAAGAAGTTTTTGCGGCGGCCGGAAAAAGGGGGGGAATATTAAACTGTCATCACAGAAGAACATAAACCAAGATCGAAAATCAAAAGGAGGATTAGAGACGTTCTTCATCCAAGAGCCACCCGCCTCAGTTCCGTCATCATTGGCCACACAACCGGAGCAAGTCAAGAAAACCGCTTTGAACCCACAACAAATGGGTGAGCAGTTTTGACAGTGACCGTGTTAGTTTGCGTTTTTTTCGGGGTGCAAGAACCAGTGAAGAAAGAAGAATACATGCAAGCGAAAGATGAAGAGAAAAGCTTCGAAGTGCTTCAATGGTCGCCGCCATGCTGCATGAGGAAGAAGAAAGGGGAAACAAAACCCTAAAAAGTTCCACCAAGATCTCTTAACCTCACCCTTTAATATTCTGATTGTTCATTTGGTTTATTTATTGTATGGTTTATTTCTCCATGTATTAGTTAAGGAGCAGGCTGCAAATTAACATAAAACTTAACGTTAGTTTACATAATCAAAACCAGTATTAAAACTTAATTAAAAATCTTTTTTTAAAGCTTAAGTTTCAGAGTTTGGTTTAAAACTACTTTAGAACTTGATTTTTAGAATTTAATTCAAAACCTTTTTTGAAAAAAATCTAATTTAAGATTCAATATAAAGTTATAATTTAAAATTAATATAATTTGGTTGTTATCATTGCATTTTTCTTTTTTAATTAAAATTTCCAAAGTGTTTTTAAAAATTGAAACTCTTTTAGAACTTTATTAGTTTTTTGTTCTAACGTGTAAAAAAAAAACCAAAAATACTAACCTTCTTTTTAACTTAAATTTCGTTTTAGATAAATTAATATTAAAAATTTTAATTACAAACATTTTCTAAAAAACATTTTAAAATCCATTAATTTTTAAAATTCATTCTTAAAAATAAGAAATCCTTTATTGAAACCGTCTAACATTTCGCTTTTTAGTTTCAAGTTGAACCTCGCAGTTTATTTCGTCTAACTTTTTATGTCGACTTTCGTTCTTCTCATGTTGTACAGTTTACTAATCTCGTATTTCCCGTATTTCGTTGTAACTTTATGCGAGGACATCGTCGCTTTTATTCCGTGTTTATTTTGCAATTTTCATCATTGTAACTTATGCGAGTATATCGTCGATGTGTCGTGCCTTTACTGTTTTCGCACTTTCTCGTATTTCCTTATTTACCGCTATTTTATTTTATTTTTGCACCATTTACCATCAAACCTTCCGAAGGATTAGGTCTAACAATTTGATCGCCGAGTCAATAGCCTTAACCTTTGAATGTTTCAAAACCCTAATTTGCCTATGCGTCCTGCCGTGGATGAAAATGCCATTTACCCAAGCATTAGGTCAAGGAGTCGCCGCACTCCATTTTAGGGTTTCCCGTCGTGGAACATTTAGTTAACCCTAATTTCAATTCAAACTATTTCAACATAGAAATAGGATTCGCCGCACTCCACGTAAGCGTTTCCCTATGAACGCTTATTCCCCACCGAAACCTTGACCACTGTCAAGAAGTTTCTAACCTCCCTTTCGAGGGGAACTACGATTACTATGATTCCATTCCCTATCCAGGATACGTAGGCACAAGATGTGAATCTTGTCGAGTAAACTTAGGACTAACCCTTAGGTCTTTGTTTCACCTTTTAACCCTTAGCGTATACCCTAAAGCAAATAATAAAGCAAATAGTAAACTTTAAACAAAAGGTTCCTGTAGAGTACTACAGAAGTTTAGGGTGTTAGTACCTTCCCTAGGCTTAACCAACCCCTTACCTAGATCTCTCCCCGCATTGTGTTTACGATGCAAAATTAGGTATTTCCTTTCTTTGACCTTTCCTTCGGATAAATCAAAGACCGGTTGTAAACTAAAGATTGTGATTCAAATTAATTAATAATTTGATATTATATTCTCACCGCAACACCCATCTTTGAAGCATCACAAGACACAACAAAAGGCTCACTTGGATTCGGCAAATTCAAAACTAGAGCAAACATCAACTTCTTTTTGAGTTCTTCGAAACACTCTTCATAAAGCACATCCCAAACATAAGCTTGAACTTTTCAAGTCAACTGAGTCAAAGGCAATGCTAAATTTGATAAACCTTCAATGAACTTCCTATAGTAACCAGCCAACCCAAGAAAACTTCTAATCTCAATGATAAACTTCGGAGTCTTCCATTGCAACACAACATCTATCTTCGACGGATCCACAACTATACCACCACTAGAAATCACATTCCCTAAGCAACATACTTCATGCAACCAGAATTCGCACTTAGACAACTTCGCGTACAATTTCTTCTCTTCCAAAGTCTACAATACAACTCTCAGATGTTCCAGATGCTCTTCATCAAATTTCGAATATATCAAGATGTCATCGATGAACACAACCACAAACTGATCTAAGTTTGGATGGAATATTATATTCATGTACTCCATGAACAATCCAGGCTCATTAGGCATACCAAACGACATTACTAAATATTCATAATAACCATACCTTATTCTGAAAGTAGCCTTCAAAATATCTTCCGGCTTCACATGAATCCGATGGTAACCTGAACACAGGTCGATCTTGCTAAACACATAAGCACCCACCAACTAATCCATCAAATCTATAATCCTAGGAAGTGGATACTTTTTCTTGATCATCACTTTATTCAGCTGTCGATAGTCAACACATAACCTCATACTACCATCTTTCTTCTTGACTAGCAACATCGGTGCACCCCGCGACGAAACACTTGGATGAACAAATGTCTTCTCAATTAGATCCTCTAATTGCTTCTTTATTTCACTCAACTCTGAAGCAGACATTCAATAAGGATCCATCGATACAGGACTAGTACCATGTACTAAGTCTATAGTAAACTCAACTTCGCGCTCTAGCGAAAAATCGCTGATATCATCAAGAAAAACTTATAGAAAATCACACACCACATGTAGCTCGTTAATCACAACTTTTCTTTCTGCCTTCATAGAAGTTAATATCATAAACATTCCAACCTTATCCTTCATGAACTCATCCACTGGCTTAGTAGACACAAATAACTCGTCACTTGCATCTAACTCTAGAAATGACACTAACTTGTCCAACAATCTGCACTCTTGAAATCGGCGACACTCTAAACTAATCCTCCACAACATCTGTCATCGCATGCTCACCTTCAATTAGGGTATCATTACGATGATATCAATCTTATTTCAATTAAATAAAATAGTATAACTTAGACATTTAGTCTCAACTTCAAAATTATATAAACTGCTATCAAAGTATTGAGTTATCATGTTCAGCTCTCAACAACTTCAACATAAATCGAATAAAGAAATTAAGCTCCAACAAATCATAATAAACAAACAAACATTCCCAACCCCGATGTTATATGATCAGAGCAATACTTCCAAATAACAATGAAACTAAACGAAGTAACTCCAGGAGCTAACTTCAACTTACAGTGGCAAACACTACTCCTAAGTACCTGTAAGGTGTCCATGGTGGACAACATGAAGAAAAGGGGGTGAGAAACAACATACCAATATAAATAATGTAAGGAATGCTAAGGTAGAAAGCATACAACAAACACACATTCAATTACACATGAAAAAACCACATAGTCTCACACCCTTCACAATAACATGTACATATTCATAACCAATAAACACCATCAGGAACAATCAAGTACATCAGTAATCATGTATGCAAATGTACTCCACAACTAACTCATTATGCATGTGGTACCATTCATGAACACTCAAGTTTATCTCGCTCCCAATCCCCACCATAGGACCAGAGCACACAAAATTGTTACCATCGCCATAGGTAACACTTCACCGATCCCCACCTGGAATCGGCTACTCGCTTCTGATCCCCATCATAAGACCATAGCACACCAAAACTATACCGAAGTCCATACACCGTGATGTAAGACTCTCAACAACATGCATTTTCACTAAAATATTCACCAAAAAAATCACAATGCACATTTCACCACTTATGCATAACATCATTCATCATATGTAACAATTAATCAATGTTACAACATCAATAAACAACAACAAACAGCAAGAATTAAACAAATGTAACTTTGTAAGCATTTGTTCATGTTACTTCACCAAAACAACAACACATCATCGCATAAGCATAACGATTCGGTAATTAATCATACATGTCATCACAAACATCCCTACAGTAGGTAAATGACTACAAATCAAACATTTCATCAAGCACTCCCATTTGATAGCTCTGTGTGTTAACTTTCTAATGCTTCAAACAGTGTCTCATTCGGACTTACAGAATGAAAGATACAATTAAAATCGTTAGACAACGCAACAAAGACAAAACATAATTTTTCCCTATTTGGCCTATGACAATTGATTGTCATAGGGTGACAATCAATTGTCAGCAAACACATTTTGCTACATACTTCACAAAAAACCATTTCTCTGGGCTAGGCAATCGATTGTAGCAATGGTGCAATCGATTGCACTGTTTATTTTTTTTTCAAAATTTCAACTGGTGTAATCGATTGTCATCTAGTGACAATCAATTATCGTTGTAGTGTTATCCAAAAATTCCAGTTTTCATCATACGATCTTCATCCCTTTCATCCCTAAAAGTACATACATGTCACCAACTAATTTTTTCTCAAATCCATTGATTCAAAAATGAATTTAACAGTGATTCATGTTAGCATAATCATTAACATATACAACACTTATTTCTTCACAATCCATAGCAATTTCATCAATTATTTTAACAGCAAATTCATCATCAATCATGAATAAGACTCAAGCTTTCACATCTTCACCAATGACAGAACCTCATACATTCATGATCATTCAAACATCGAGTCAATCATAACAACATATGCAAACACAAGATCAACCAACCAATTTCCAAAATTTTATTAATATAACAAATCATCAAAAGAAAACCTAAAATCCTAATGAGATTAAGGACTTCACATCTCTACCCCATCATGCAATACACCTTGATTGAATTTCCTTTCTCCCCATTTACCTTAGACTTCCATCAATGATGATGACTCAAGCAACTTCTATGACTTCCCTTTTCAAAACCTCAACTTTTGCTCTTCTCCCTTTTTTTTCAACTTTTGTTTTCACGTACGGCAAACTCTCTCAATTCATTTATCCCTCTATTTATAAAAATAAGTTAATTCCTTCTATTTAGTCTTTTTCCTCTTTACCCTCAAATTACTCTCTAAATTCTCTCATTACCCCTTATTTCTCTACCAACTCTTATTTTTCTCTAATTTCTTAGTTTATTTATAATATAACAATTAAAATTATGATTATTCTAATAACTATCACATTTATTCTATTTTCTCACCATCCCCTACTAATTCCACTACACTCCATCAATACATAAGATCATATTATTTATTTAAATGCACACTATCATCAAACAATTGAATAAAATAAATTCCAATAATTCAATTAAATAATTTAATTAAATTTTAGAGTGTTATATTTATGCGCTTAAAATTCAACCGAACAAGCGAAAACCCACCCTACCGTACCTTTAAATTAATTTGTTGTTATTAACGTACCAGTTCTTTTTAAAAGGATAACAATAATTTTATTTAGTTAAAAACCCAATACTATTTCTTACGTCTTATCTCATGGGTAAGACCTTTTATAGAAATAACAATACAACAGTAGTAAATATATTATAAAATTTGAGCTTTATTTTGAATTTAATTTGTATGCAGTTAAAATGTATACTTTTTTAACACATATTTCCAAACAATTTTTTAATCGTTTATATTAAATAAAAGTATTTGATGGTTATAATTAATTGGATATATGTGTAAACTTATTTTCATAATTAATGCTTACAATTTATTTTTACTCAATTAATGCATACAAATTAAAATGCATTACTTGTTATCACGTGGCATTTCAAAGGCTTCCTTCAGCATGGTTCTTGTTCCTTCTTGGTTTAAGAACTCTTTAAGAAATTCAGAGAAGTGGTAATTTCTATATTTGGGAGGATGTTCTTCATCAATTAGTTCCTGAATTGGACCAATTATCATGTTTGGATTTGGCCCAAAAAACATCGCCATCGACAATCGTTGATTCAAATTGTTGGTAACAGCCCTATGTAGTACACTTTTGTATCTTCCATTACTTAAAACCTACATAATAAGTTAGAAATTATACATGCCACACTTTAAATTATTTTCAAGTAATATCTCAAATATGTATAAGAAATTACATTATTTAAATAGGAGAGAACTTGAAAAAGTAGGGAAAGAATAACTGAAAATAATTGAAGAATTTATGGTGGAAAGAATTTTAGATGTTTAATTTTATTCATATTTAAAAATCTATCTAATTTGAAGGAATTCAAAAAAAAAATTGAATAAAGACCAATATATTAAAAGGAAAAGTGATAAAAAAAAGAAATAAGTTAGCCTTGAAATTACGAGAATCTAAAGAAAAATATACCTAATCTATTCTTTATAAAATCCTTCTTAATTCTCGAAAGAATAGAAATAAAAATAGAGGTGATATTGATGTCGAACACAAAATTCGTCAAAAAAACGACACAAGAATTACCTTCGCAATAAATGTGAGAAGGGAATTGAAAAACTTACATAAAATTTTCAATTTTATTTTATGTTACTTTAATATTTTAAAATATATTGATATTAATGATACACATTCTCATTTATCATTTTATATAAAACAATTTTTAAAAAATAGTACTCTTCTTCCTAAATTCTTCATTTCTATTCCCTCCTAATTCACAAATAGAACTAAAAGAGAGGATATGTCAGACAAAAATAAAGATTAAGAATGGAGGCGAGATACTAAAACCCAACAATAAACCACAAACAAAAAGATTAAAAGAATTGGTTTAAATTCTTAGACTTTCTTTACAAATTAGGGGGATAAAAATGACGGAACTGAGGAAAAAAAAGTTGAAGGGAATATAAAAAAATTTATATTTTTTAAAATTAAATTTTGTATAAAATAAAGTGTAAGTGTTTATCATTAATATATTCTAAAACTTTAAAATTATAAAAACATAAATTATATTTGAATAACTGAGCTCACTAATACTCTCCAAACCCCTCCTCTAATACAACTTTTTACTTCCTCAAAACTAAATTAGAGAAATTTTACATTATATATAAAAATAATCTTTTAAAAAACAATTGGCACTTAAATCTCTCAAATATTTCCTATTCATTCTTTCATTTTCCAAAACTCACAAATAAGGTCTAAGCATTTTTTTAGATTTTAAGATGGGAGAGAGGTGGCGAGAAAAAGTAAGATAAAGTGTAAGAAATTAATTTTTTTGAAAAAATATCCCAACATATAATAATCCAATCATTTTAAAGTTAAAATCTATCATCCTATCCTATGCGTTTTGATCGTGGAGATAATAACTAATAACAAATGTGATAAGAAACAAGATAACAATGATGCATCCTAATCCTAATACTACAAATGAAAAGCAAAATGCATTTTAAAGGAGAATAATTTCAAATATTAGTGTGATAGCATTTGAATGCTTTCATTAACAAAAGAAGCAGGAAAAAATAATAATGAATATAAAATCAGAACAACATCATTAAACAGATTAAAAGTTGCTCAATTTTATTTATAATTTATGACAAAAATAATTATGTTTTTTCTTTCATGGGACAGAGGCAATATAAGATTTTAATATTATATTTGATTTTATTTAATAGCATTATCTCTTTTTTCAATAACATTTTCTTTTCTGTATGTTAGATTCTACCTTACTTCAAAGATCTGTCACACCACAAATTCTGATTGTCACCGCTCTAATTTAGGTCATCGCAAATGTGATACCGTTGTTGTCTGTCACAGATTCAACGCCGATTTTTGTCAATTTTAAATATATATTTTCTTACTTTTTATCACTTGTGGTTTTATGCATTCTTCTCCAAATCTTCAGTTTGACTTTAAATTGATGGTGATGTCAATATACCCATCAACCACTTTGATGTTCTCTCCAATATTGAAATCATTATTTAACAACATTGATCAAGTTCAAGTCACACTTGAAACTTCATCTTTCCATTTGCATCCACTTGCACTCATCCATTTTTTCACAAGTATGGTTTTTCAACCATCTTTGACTCTTTTTTCTTTTGAATGACTCCCTAAAGGTCTTTTTTTCTGAGTTTTATATCTTTCATCCACGTTCAAAGCATATAAATCAAGGTCAACATAGTTGAATCCTTGGGATGGTGGAATCTTCATCCTTGCCTTATTACGAGTCAAATGATAATCATAAGTCATTGTAAAATTTCCACCTTCATCTCTATTTCTTAAATTTTCCTTCCCATACAGGCCTAATAAAAGTAATACATATGCTTATGATAAACTTTGATCCACCAAGTTTCACTTCCCAAAGAATATAACCATTCATTTGTTATTGAAAACCATTAAAAACACACTTCATAACCTTACAATCAAGTTCAACTATGTTTATTTACGCAAACAATAAAACCTTGCAGATCTTTAATTTAGAGTAGTCGAAAAGTTTTCTCCTCTTAAACTCTATAGGTGTTTGGAAGTTTATTCCTGTGAATGGATATTTGTCAGCCAGGTAAGATATTTTAGCATTAATGTTATCCTATAATTGTTTTCGCAACTCAGTGTTTAGTACCATGCTTGACGTCATCAAATGTGTTTTTATCTCTTGTCTCCTGCAAAACTCATTAAAGTGCTATAAAAGAACCTTCAAGCATTTGTCATAAAAGTCTTCACTAGCTAATGATGAATGACTAATAACATTGGAACCATCTAAAATATATAACCTACATATTTAGACCCTTTAGACATTATCACTCCACCGTGTGAATTCTTTTATACCTCATGTTCAACTTTAGTATAGTATCCTAGATCATCAAACATGTTTATGGACAACAAATTTCGCTTAAGCTCGAGAACATACCTCACATTGCGTAAAAGGAACTCATAGTCATCAAACATTTTATGTATGATTGTACCAACACCATAAACCTTCCTAGCCATATACGTATCAAGTCAAACGACTCCGCCATCTTCTAGCTTCAAAGTCTCTAAGTAGTATTTCCTTTTACACATGTGATAAGAGCATTTTGATTCCATAACCTAAGTTTTTTCACTCTTCAAACTCGAAACCACAAGTGCATAAGCATTCTCATGACTATTCTCATTTCAAGCATCTACAATTTAAATAGAATTTTCGTTGTCCTCCCTCTTGGGACAATCTTTCTCAAAGTGGCCTATTATTTTGACAAATAAAAATTTTTTAACCCTGGATTATAAAATATCTTAGTTTTAGACATCCCTTTACGCTCACTTTCTCTTCTTGGGACACTCAATCCATCACCACTTATGCCAATCTTCAAATCTTTCACCTTTGAGAATTCCTTGAATCTCACAAGCACTTGGACTTCATCCAAAATAATATTATCTTACTTAATATAAAGAAGGTAAACCTTGAAGTTCTCAAAGGATATAGGTAATCATCTTGTGTATTATTTTCAACTGCTCAACTATATGATTTGTTCTCTACTATTTGGAATATGTAGAGTTGTTACTTATAACACAACATGTGACACAAATACTTGGTCATATACAATAATTCAATATTTTCCCACATCAAAGCTGCAACCCTATCCCTGGAAAGTTTTCTTAGAAATTTATCCCCAAGGAAAAAGATAATGTCATTCCTAGCATTATCCGCCATTTATGTATTCTTTGCTTGTGTTAGTTGTGCAGACATTGATGCTCACTTTTCAATACTTCAGTTGAGTTAAGATTGTTTGAACAAAATTGTTTTGGCCCATATCCCTTAGGTTTTGATGATAACACAATATTTAAAGAACACCTGAGTATACTAATTTTTGTTCAAGTATGCAGGATCATATACTAAAATTTCATATAACTATGTATTGGTTCTAACTATGAATATTCAAAAGAAGCTTAAAGACCAAAATTTGATGGATCAAAAGCTGAAGACCAGACTCAAAAGAAGTCAACTTCTGAAGAAGTCAACGTCTAAAGGAGTCTGCCTCTGAAGGTCAGACTTTGAAGAAGTCTAGTTTTGATGATGAGAATCTGAGTCAGTCAAAGCATAAGAACCAAGGTGACTCTGATAGCTCATTGTTGATCTATGAACCTACCTTGTCATGTGAAGACCTAAAGCTCTATTTTTTCATAGAGTCTGCTGGGATACAATTGCTAATTCATTTTGTAGCAAATGGTTTTCAAACTAGCCTTCAGTAACTTTGACTATTTTGTGATGGATCCCAACGACTCTTTTGAAATTTCTCAAAGGACTCTATTGTGTTGGATCTTCAACGACTTTTTTCCTTCTCTATTTAAGGAGATGGAGACTTGAAGAAAAATACACCAATTGAAACTTAAACAGAAGTTACTTTGTCAACATAAAAAGCACAAGCTAACTTAGGATTTTTTATCCTTTTATATCTTAGAAATCCCTAAGTCTTAATAGAGTCTACTTGCATTGTATTCTTTATACACCTCTGATTATATATCAATTGTACTTTTCCAAACAAACATGTATCTTCTAGGTAGATTGTTAGAAGTCTCTTACTAAGTATTTGAACATTTGAAGTCTTTTGCTTGTGTGCTTGAGCATTTGAAGTCTTTTGCTTGTGTGTTTGAGCATAGAAGTCTCTTGCTTATGTGCTTGAGCATTGGAAGTCTCTTGATTGTGTGCTTGAGTTAAGAAGTCTCTACTTTAGTGTTTGAGCATTGGAAGTCTCTTGCCTGTATGCATGAGTATATTGTAATCTTGTGTGATTATAGTGAAAATTTTTTGTAAGTACAAGCGAACTAGATTACTCCCAAGTTGTGAGAGGAAGCAGGATAACTATGTGTGTCATTCTTCTTTCTTGCACTCTATAACTTGTGTTTAGAATCTGAGCAAGAGTTCAAAAAGAAAGAAAAAATCAACACAATTCAACCCCCTTCTTGTGTTTTTATCACCTTCGAATATTACTTTCATACTTCTTGTGTTTTTATCACCTTCGAATATTACTTTCATTTTAACTTGTGTTTATCAATAGTTTTTAGAAGTGTTTTTGAATCTCCTTAAATATCTCTAAGGATCTCCCAAATTCTAAGAATTCCAAAAAAAATTCTATTCTCACTCTCTAACTAAGATCACCCCTTTCCGTTAGGGTCTGTTTGGTTCAAATGAGGGGGAGGGGAGATGATGGATTTTAATGGAGGGAAGGGAATGAGAGGGGAGGTAAGGAATTTTTTTTAATCAGATAAGTGTTTGGTTCAAAAGAGAGGAGGAGAAGAATTTTAATTAAAAATGTGTTTGGTTCAGGAGGGGAGGGGAGAGATTTTATTAATAATTTACATTTTTATCCTTATGATCTTATATAGGTGATATGGTATTCATATGTGAAAAATTCATGCATATTTTTTATGATAATAAAACATTTAATATTGAGTGACTAAAAAAGTATTTATTTACCACATAACATTAAAAAAAAAATTGAATACACTTGATTCAAATTATAACTCTCCAATATAAATTAAACTATACGCTGATAACAACGTTTAAATCGTGTTGAACCATCTAACAAAGCAAATACATAAAATAAATTATTATTAAATATTAATGGTTCAAAATGTTTAATAAAATAAATAAACAAAAAAAAGAATGATTTAAAATTTGATATATAAAAACATGATATGATACATAACAAAATTAGAATAAAAAACTAATGTAACTAAACATAATATTTTTAATTAAAAAACAAAATAAAAGTGCAATGATTATAATTTTTATAAAGTACAAAAATTCTAAAATAATTTGAATGTAGATAACAATTATAATAAAATGATGAGAACAATCAAAAAAATCACACAGAAGAAAGTAATAACACAAAAGAAAACGAATAATTTTGAAATACTAAAATTAAACCAAAAATATTTTAATAAATATAATAATTTTTTTAATATCCAAACTCATATTCTCTCCTTTCCCCTTCAAATCCCTCCAAATTAGAGGGAAGTAAAAAAATGTGTTTTGGAAGAATTTTGCTCTCTTCCTTTTCTCTCTTAAAATTTGAATCAAATATATTTAATTAAAAATCTCTTCTTCTTTCCCCTCCCATTGATCAACCCCAAATAGGGCTGGAAATGAGTCGAGTCGAGTCGAACTCACCTCAGCTCGGCTCGACTCGTTAAGAATTGTTCGAATTCGAGTTCGAGTTCGAGTTCGATACGAACTTTTTTTTAAGCTCAAACTCGACTCATTATAAGTTCACGAACAGTTCGGTTCAGCTCGTTAGGTTCATCTCATTAGGTTCAGCTCACATGGTTCACGAACTTAAAAACTATTTTTTAAAATATATATATTTTTTAGTATATTTGATATTTTAAATAAATATATATTTTTTAAATAAAATATTAAAATAAAATAAAAGTTATCATATTGAAATTTAACTTTATCTTTGAAATCTACTAATTCAAAACCTACACAACTTTCAAGAGATACATTTGAGAGTCTAATTCAAAAACTACTAAATTGAAGATTAAACTTGTCTAAGATTTGAAGTAAATATTTAAACTTAATCTTAAAGATAGTATAATTCTTTTCATATGTAATCGAGTTGACTCATGAATCTAACGAGTCGAACTATGTATAGTTCAAGTTCAGCTCATTTAGTTAACGAACTTAATTTTTCGCTCATACTCAACTCATTTGGTTCATGAACCTAGTTCAACGATTTAATTATCGAGTCGAATTCCGAACTATCTTCGAGTTGGTTTGGTTCATTGTCAGCCCTAACCCCAAACCAAAACACCCCAATAGTTTTCTCTTACTAACAAAATGATATCCTCAATCTTTAAAGGGTTAGATATCCAAATCGATACAAAAAACATGACCCATTACCGAACTCATATGCGAACCAAACTTATCTATCTTGAGATCCGAGAAACGGTCATACTGTTACCTATGCATGGATTTCAACCATCTATTCTCCAGAACATCACCGCCATTACCACCATCGCTTAGGCTTCAACTGTCGACGTTTCCCAAACGACTAGAGCCATCACGGTGCCTCGGTCACTCTCCTGAGATTTGGCGCCGATGTCGATTTGCCGCCGCCACCAACCGAACTACAATTCTCTTCGTTTCGCCGGTGATCAACGATATTGAGGATACACAAGTGAAAAGCCAAAATTTCATTTTTTTTAACATGCTTCATAACATTGATAGTAGTATAAGATAACCTAATTAACCAAGATATTAAGAGTGGAATTGTAGATAGAAAATGTCTTGGAAAAGCATACCAATGAATAAGACATACCTGAATTTGATCAGCTAGGTTGATAACAAAAGCATTGGGAATAAATGGTACAGAAATCCATTTCCCATCTTTGTTAACTTGAAGACCAGAAACTTCTGATTGCAAAAGTATTGTGAGAGCATTCAGATCAGTATGCTCAGTTAGACCCATGGTCAACTCTGGATCCGGACATGGTGGATAGAAATTTGCTTGTGCTCTTTGTCCAGACCGGCCACCTAACTTCTTCAACAAGCAATCCTCCTCTAAGCCAAGCCCTAATGATATCAAACCTAAAAGTCTGCTCCCCAATGAATCAATCTCCTCTACAAATTCACTAAATGCCTCTCTGAGAGAAAAAAAAGTGCAAAAATATAAAATAACTATATCTATAATAGCTTATGATCAGAACTTTAAAAAAAAAGGTTTGTGATTGCAATTTGAACCGTGACATCAAAGTTTTTGATATTTATGTAACAAAAATGCAAACACACTGGGGGTTGTGTTAGTTATAATCAATTGTGATTCTCTACAATATAAAAAGATCACGACGTGGTACACCTGTCATATTGGTAGCAGCAACTAGTTTTTTTTCTCTCAATAAAGCATGTGTATGTTATTTCTATAACAAAAGGTAAAGACATTATTTTCATATAAATTAAAATTGTTAGTAGATTAGCCAAATAAGTAAATCCAAACATATATAAATTTAGATGGTAGATTCAATTGGAAATTTTCTTACATGTATTGAGTTCTAATTTTTTCTGGTAGGAGAGAAATGATATCATCAATAGGATAGCATGAATGGGTAAAGCATTCACTCCAACACTTGACCTTTTCTCCACCTTCCACTTTAAGGTAATAATTGAACAATCTTACACTCTTGGTATGATCTGTTGAATAGAGACTATCTCTTTCCTCTGATGGCAGTTCAAAAAGGTCAGTAATTGCTTTCATCATTTTATTACAAACTTGTTCAGGAACACCATGGTTCACAACTTGAAAGAAACCAAACTCCTCACAAGCCTTTGAAATCTTGTGAATAACATCCAAGGATGAATGGTTGATGTCATGACAGTAACTCAAATCAATTATGGGGATAGAATCTAGAGATTGAACCTCTGAAAGGCTTGGCCTTTTGCTTTCTGGGAGGATGAAATTGTTGGGAGTTAGAGAAAGGGGAGAAGACTCATTGGCTACCTGGAAAGTCTTCATCTTGTTAGAAAAACTCAGATTTCAGTTCATTCAAGAAAAATGGGAAATATTATAGGCAAACTCTACAAATACAATCATAGGCCTTATCTCAATTATTTATAGATTTTTTATTAACAATATGCTCATGCTTACTAACTGGTTAATAATCAAAGAGAAGAAAACAAAACTAATTTATATATAATAGCATGTAGGCCAGCTCCAGCCTGCCAGAATTGACCAAAAGTAAAGGGAGAATTATTAGATTATTTATGCAACTAGTGTGTATAGGTAGAGAAAATCCAAACAACAAAGAGTATATGTGTATATCACAACATATATTACTTTATATCAAAGACGTGTCTAATATCCGACAATAACATAACACTTATACATATATTACTTATATTCAATAGTTTCATTTTTTCAAATTAATACTAATATCGACGTATCAATGTTAGTTTCGTGTCTGGGTTAGTAATTCATGGGTCTCAGCCGTTGATCCATTCATATCTGTAGTAGCTTTTCTAACTCCCAAATATTCTGCAACACTCTCAGAAACCACAGCAACATTATTCAACAATGAGGCTCCCCACACCAACCATCCTGTCTCTACTTGTCGATTTTGTGTTTCAGCCATGTTTCTCAGTCGCTCTTCGTCAATGATTTCAAGCCACCGCTTAGCCAGGAACTCCTTGATAGCCTCAGCTCCTTGATTTACAACCTCTATAGGTGGAACAACAATCGGATTCTGGTCCAGGTTCAATTTTGTTAGTTTACACAGCCTGCAAAACGCGCAAGGAAGAGCTCGGATCTGGTTATTGCTCATGTCTAGCTCCACCAAGTTACTCAAACCACCAACTGTTTCGGGAAGCTGCGTCATGTCGTTGAAATTACTACTGATGTTTAGATATTCAAGGTTTGCTAGTTTCCCAGTAGATTGAGGTAGGCCATGAAGCTCGTTGAAATGAACATCAAGATATCTCAGAGATTTCATTTCTCCAATGGATAGAGGAAGAAACCGAATCTTATTCAAATGGATCAAGAGCTTCTCAAGGTTAATGAGTCCGTAAGCAATATTGGTTGGCAGACAAATTAAGTTGTTAAAGCTTGCATCCAGTTCAACTAGTGACCTACAATTTCATCGAAGATACACTTAACAGAAGAAACAAAATAGGTGAAACAAATGTGCTAAAAATATTAAGTTTGATAAACAAACAGGAACCTGCAAAGAGAAATGGATTCAGGAAGAGCAGTTAGCTTGTTTCCTGACAGATTAAGGATTTTTAGATTGGTTAGCAATCCAATGCAGTCTGGTAGAGACTCTAAAAGGTTTGATGAAACATCAAGTTCTTCAAGCTTTTTTAGGCCTGCTATTGAATCTGGAATCACCTGTTTTGAGGTCATGAAATTATTCAAAACTACAATGAATAAAACTAGGCCTGCATTGAAGAATGACACTAAAACACATTAAAATAGAAAGATCGGTTGAACATAGAAGTGAATAATACCTTTAACTGATTATGAGACAAATTAAGAACAAGTAAACTCTTCATCTTCCCAAACGCCTCAGGAAAAATCCTCAACTTCATCCCAGAAAGATCAACTTTCTCAACAATCTCACCCTCTTCAACTTTCCTCAATATTCCAACAATTTTTTCATTCACTTCATCAACTCCTTTCACCGACTTCTCCACAAACAACTCATAAGCTTCCACCAACTTCTCCTCAGCAACCCTCAACTGCTTCACACACTCCTCGTGCATATCGTCTACTCTCAACAAAGCCTGATAAACTGCCACGTTGGCATCGGTTTCGGCGACTTTGGCACGTGAAGCAGCGATGGAAGAAGGATCAGGACGTGGACCGAGGGTGTTGAGAAAAGACAGAGTGTGTGTGATGTTGAGATTGGAAACGAGGTTGGTGAGTGAAGGTAAGAGTTTGGGGTTGTTGAAATGAGGGAAACGGGTTAATAGATTTTGATGAAGGTGTTGTGGAAGAGGTGGATATGTTTGAGGGTGTAGGTGGTTTAAGAGGTAGCAGAGAATAGGGAAATGGTTATGATCCATATTTGTGCATGAAAGAAATTAAAGGAAGAAGAAGAGTGAAGGTGTTGTTTTGTAAAATGGTTTCCAGTGGCAAACAGAAATGGCGTTTGGTTTGGTTGACAAATGACTAGCAATAGTGGTGGGAAAATTGAAATGGTCATAGGCTGCTTCTTGAAGTAGGTAAGGGAGTACTCGTCAACCCTCTCTGAAGACTAATTCTACAAATGAATAGCCTGTCAAATCTTGGCAGATGAAGGACGGAGAAAAGAACGTAGGAAAGTTGCATAATTCATAATTTTTTAAATATAAAATTGACTTTTTCTATTTATGCATTCAAAACTTATTTATTTTATTTTTAAATATAATAAATAATAAAAAATAAAAAATAAAATTTAATTAAAATAAAAAAAATCTTAAATTCAGAAGTTTTTAATACTGATCCTCTATTTTAAAAATCAGTTTTTTAATTCTAAACTTTATTTTTTCGAGATTATCATAGTTACTTGACTTTCTTCTATTTGATAGTTTCATTAATGAGTTATATAGATACAATACAAACATGTCATATTTAATGAATATTTTAATTTTAATTAAAAAATAATTTAATTTCAAATTATGATTTTAATAAAAAATTAAAATGGCTTTTAATGCAAATCCATAAACATGAACTTGAACTTATGGTGGCAAAACAAACCATCTTTCACCCGCCTTAAGCTCTTCGAGTGAAATTGAGTTTAAAATTTTAACTCGTTCCACCAAAGTGATTAATTGGCGAACAATGACCTTGCCTGTCTATTTTTTTTATTTTTTTATTTTTTATTAAATTAATAAATTTATATTCACAAATTAATCTTCAATCAATTAAAATAAATATTTTGAATTTTTGATAATTAGGATGCCGATTTTAAGGAGGCCTTGCTTAAGGCGGAGTGAGTTGAATGGGTATGCGGTGACAAAATCCAAACTCAATTCACTTTTTTTCCGGGTGTCCGAGTCAATCCGGCTGACCATGATCTGTTTTTCCATCTCAACTTAGAACCCTAGTTCCTCTTTTGGAACCAAACACGAAAACCAAATAATATAAGTTCTTATCCTAAATAATTATGCATTTGCTTCACAAATAATGGTTGATTTGTGATGCTATTTTGTGAATCTGCTTTATAATGGTTTGTCCTTTCAACTTATCGTGGTTTTACAAAAGGGTTTATCCCAATATTTGAATTATTGATTTGAAAATCAAAGGTTGAACCATTAAATAAGATTGTAGCAAAGTAATTCATATCCAAAAAAATAAGTAAGTGAAGAACTCTTTGTAAGGTGTTCCTGTTCATCCTTTCTTGAGTGTTAATAGTCTTCTTTTTGCAGAAATGTTTTTCCATGTGTTTCTTCTTAATAGATCCTGCACAAAACCCAATCATCTAACTGATGACACATATGAGCAAAAACACATTAAATATAGTTTATTTTCAATAAGCAATTATATTGATACGGAGCACAAATTGTGCTCCAAACAAATTACAATATCAATGTAATTTGAGATAATCTACATGATTTTTCCACCAATTATAAAAATACAACACCAATCTACTTTTCAAACCTAAAACAATCCAATTCCAAGATCAGAATTTTATATGGAAATAAGTATCTTCAACAATCCAACCCACCTTATTGAAAATAATGTTATTTCTCCTAAGCCATAAACACCAACAAATGGACATCGTGTTACTCTTTACCGCTTCCCCTCATTAGTAAACAGAACTTCTCAGCATGGTTTGCAAAAGAGTTCTCTGCAAAAGACACCAACTCCAACCAAGAACAAATTGAATCCCACAATTTAACAGCAAAAGGACAAATACACAATAGATGAAATAAATCTTCCACAGGAACAAAACAAGACACACAAGTCAGCTCAATTGGATTGTGAATAAACCCCCTCTTCTCAAGTTTTGGGAGCCTATCAATGAATAACCGCCAACCAAAAATATGAAATTTTGACTGAACTTTCGTACTCCACAATCTCTACAACAGCGACAAAATCTCCTGGATGCAACTGATAACAACCTGATCTTCCTGCAACCCCCTGTAACAGGTTTGTACGGAAAACTCACTCGATTTGTTACACTTCCATACGAAACTGTCTTCTGCAGATCTGCATAACGAAACCGCAACCAAGGTTGAACAAAAACTCTGCATTTGGGATTCATACTACTACTCTGTGACAGAGAAAACGAACCAATTCCAACACTACTCTTCTTCTTCCTAATTATCGAAATTGCACACAGCTAAGGAACATTCAGAATTATTCAAAAAAACGTTCAGAAAAGAAATGCGTAATGGCTATCCTCCACACCAGCTACTCTTCCAAAAGTCCAGGGTCTTGTCGTCACCTAATCTGCATAAGATGTTCGAAACAAACCAATCCTCCGATTCGGCTACACTATCTCTATAAGAGAACAAATCCCTCCACCAAAACGAGACCCTTTTCAAGACGTTAGCGGGACTCTGAGCCAGAACAGCCTTGGACAAATAACCATACCTAAACTCCAAGAAGTTTCTCCAAACCGTTTCACGTTCGCTGAGGAATATCCACTTCCATCTGTTCATACAAACAATTTGTATAAGTAATTTTTCATTTAGCACCATACAATTTATATGTATGGTGATATTTACATTGTTGCTCTCTTTGATATACTTACATCACCATATTTTAAACTTACTCAAAAGTTCTTTTTTTTTTTTGCATGAACGCTTTGAACATTCACGTAAAAGCCATGGTTGTAGTTAGTATCAATACTCCACGATAATTATTTAACTATGGGGACATGAACAACTTTTTGTTTAGTTCTTAGGGGTATATCTAAGAGATATTGTGATGTCGAGCGAGAAATGTATTTGAAAAATGACCTCAATGGCATTTCTACATGTGAGGGTTAGTAAAATTGCGGTCATGATTTATTATGTGAATAGTTTATACTTCTTTCATGCACTTTTTCCTTTTATATTAATTTTGACATGTCCGTCATAAACATTTTAATGTAATTGTCTCCCATTTATGTGATCTCTTAATGATGAAGTTGTCCAATTCTTGGGTCATAATATCCTCAATTAGTTCTAAATGTGTTATTTATCATATTTCAATAAAATATTTATTGGAATTAATTTAATAATTATTATTTAAGCATGCTCAATTTGAAAATGATATGAGCATGCGCGGGTGTATATATATATATATATATATATATATATATATATATATATATATATATATATATATATATATATATATATATATATATATATATATATATATATATATATATATATATATATATATATATATATATACACCCATATATATATATATATATATATATATATATATATATATATATATATATATATATATATATATATATATATATATATATATATATATATATATATATATATATATATATATATATATATATATATATATATATATATATATATATATATATATATATATATATATATATATATATATATATATATATATGGGTGTATATATATATATATATATACACCCATATATATATATATATATATATATATATATATATATATATATATATATATATATATATATATATATATATATATATATATATATATATATATATATATATATATATATATATATATATATATATATATATATATATATATATGATATTAGTGTGGAAGTCAGAATTATAGAAACATATATAAATTAAAGGATATATAAGTTGATTATAGGAAAATTTATTGGAATTAAATTTAAGAAATAAATTATTTATGCACGGAATATTGGGAACCATAGTCTATATATAAGTGATGGTCAATTAGAATTTCCATTATTTCAAAATAGATCATCCTGACATTCACTCATATTTGAGTCCATATCTAATTAATTAATTACTAAATAGAAATCTAAATAGCCTTTTAAATTTATTTCATCACTTAATCAATTAAGTCTCGTAATTTGATAAATGGCCAATATAATTAAAATGTATATGCCCACAAAATAATTATTGAAATATAATAATTTAAAAAATTTTATTTATAAAATATTCCAACAATCTTTAACTTGGGCAATATATTTTTAATAATTATATCACAATTCTTTATGCGCGCATCCGAATGCTATTTATCTTTAGATTTCAACTTTATAATCTGGTCCACCTCATACAACAATAAATTTGACCGTCACGTTTGTTGTCACCGACGTATATATTCTAGTTTCAACAATAATAACTTTTAATTCAATGGGCCTTTTAAAATCTATTGTTGAAATAATATTTGATTGTCTTACAACATAATGAGCGGTATTTCAAATCCTTATATTGAGGTGATTGACATAAATATATGCCTTCATTTATTTTGTACTAGAGTATCTATTTGACATCTAAAATATCGAAGTCTAACATATCAATGATCTCTCCATTGTCCGATCTCCGATTTATAAACATAAACTCTCTTGTTTTCTATAATAATCCTCATGTTTTTTTTTTTAACAATTCAATATTGATTTGCTTAATTGTACAAATTTTTTATACACATAAAAGAAAAATCATATATAAAATTCTTAAAACCAAAAGATAAGAAAATACTCAAATTTTCATATTTTCATGTTTACTTTAAGGTGGTTATAACTGAGACCTAATAGTCTAATTTAATAATTGAAATATCTCAAATATTATTGTGTTTCATGTTGAATATACTTTCAACCTTATTGATGAAACTCTTTTGTGATATCTGAAGGGTACTGATAACAGGTTGATCAGTGCATATTTATGCACATTCTCCTACATTTTTACTTAGGCATTTCTTTATTTTATTTTGTTTATTATTATATTTTATTATGTTTTCTTATTTTATTTTATTTTTGGTTTAATTTAATTATCGCAACTATTTTTCAGCTTTAGCAGTCTGCACGGAAACGATCATAACTGGAGTTCCGGGAATCCGTTTGAGGCGTTCTAAAAATCGTCGAAAAGTTA